ATCTCCAGTGTATGCCGATGCATCCTCTCTGCTTCTTCGTACTTCCCTTGGTCTTGCAGCACGTTGGCTAGGTTGTTGGCACTCGTTAGGGTGTGGGGGTGGTCTGGTCCTAGAATCTTCTTCCTCTTCTCTAGTGTCCGCCGATGCATCGTTTCTGATTCCTCGTATTTTCCCTGGTCCTGCAGCGTGAGAGCCAAGTAACTTACGTACTCTAGAATACCAGCACTGCTTGAATGCGAGTACTTCTTAACCCCGCCCAGCATTCTCCGAAACATCTTCACCGCCACATCGGTCATCGGTCGATATCCAGTTGCTGCTCCCAGGAGCTTCAATCTCCGTTCATCCTCGGCACCCCGGCCATAATCTTTAGGCTTCCCTTGAAGTGAAATACATCGGCGAAACTGAATTTCTGCATCACTGTAGGAGCCTTTCTCTCGGAAGTACCGCCCCATGTGAAAACAAAGTTCCTCCGCAATAGGACCCAGCGAATCTTGAGTCACTGCAAGTGCATGCGGAATGTATACATGACCAATCTCCCGCTGCTCACTCTCACCCTGCGGGAACAGTCGTGAAACGACTCTCAGCGCGGCGGCCCTTGCTTGCTTCAACTGCTTAGTTGGGTAATACACTTGCAAGGATAGTTGGACTAAACGATGAAGCTCATAAAATGTTTTCTCCTCGCGCATAACAATGGCAACCAACGAAAATGCTAAAAGCCTTCCAACGGCCTGACGAAATTCAACCGGATCATCCATCCCATTCAAGCCGCTTTGGCTCAATATCTCTTCCGGTATGTTCTGACGATCGAGGAATACCATTAGCCGTAAAAGATCTGCGGCCGAGGGCATCTGTTGTGTGATTCTATCAAAGGTGATAAAATAGGTACCCAATATACTCTCAGTCACATCAACCTCTCGCTGGATATCGCAAAACTGCTGTGAAAGTAGTCGCCTCGCCCGTTCATCGTTCTCCCGCAAAATGGACCAGTAAATCGATGGTGATGTCTTGGTCTCGGTCATGTAGGCTGCCGCACCCACAATAGCCAGCGGTATGCGATGCACTGAGGCCACGATCATTGCGATAGCCGTTTTTCCCTCATCTCCCAAGCTGCCCCCGCTGGTAAAGCGTTTGGAAAACAACTCTAGGGCATCGTCCTGACCCATTTCTCCAACCTCAACTACTTTACACCCCTGCCTGGATGCAACCACACCAGATCTAGTGGTGAATATCACAGTCCCTTTGATGCCTTGTGGTACGAACTTAGCGATGGGACCATTGTTTCCAACAAAGTCTGTATCATTGTCGGCGTTGTCAATCACCAGGATCCAGTCACCACTGTTCGGGCCCTCAAACCACCTCCTTATACTCTTTAGGTACCCCTCTCGGTCTTTCTCTGCGTCGGTTGGATAAATCCGAGCAAGCTGAGCAACATCCCTAAAGCCCTCGCTGAATTTTGATAGCCCACTTCCTCCCACCCAAAAGACATGACAACCACTCTCGCTGGCGCGCTGATAAACATATTCTAAGGCAATCTGAGTCTTGCTAGGCAGTGTTAGTGAATTCTTCATGTGTTGAAATATTTGATACGCACCCAGAACCACCCAACCCATGGAGCGCGATTCGGTTGTGTGATGCAGGTTCTGAAAGTCTCTTTACCGATTCTAGGATATTTTTCCGGCCAGTGAAGTTGCTGTTCCTGCCGTAGGGGATCAAGCGATATGGCCCAGATTCTTGTTTTGGTTCTGATAGCACGTTAGTTCTTTGCCGGGAATCTTTCAGGAATGCTGATAATACCTCCATGTCCAACTCCAGGCACACAACCTTGATACCCAACTCCGATGCTGGCCATATCCGGCATTATATACGTGTTTCCGATAGCATTGTTACTACCAAAAACATTGTTACTACCATTATTTCCACTGTAGGTTCCCCGGATAGCAGACTCGACTGGGGTAATGCTAACAAGGCTGTTAAATCCGCGATACAGCTTTTTCAGGGGGGGGGGGCGCTAAAGCAAAGAGTAGCCTACTTATCCATCAAGTTCTATATGGGACTCTGGTTGGAGGTGAAGCTGTTCTCGCAGGTCGGGTATGATGGAAAATGATTCAACTATGATAGTTGGTTCGCAGTTGCGGAGTAGGGTCCTAGACAGTGTTACTTGAGTCCGGTGAAAACTACCGTAGAGTATTGGTATGGTCTGAGGGTATGTTAGGGTGCAAAAAAGGAAAGCCCGGATATAGAGCACAGAAATGAGAAAGCCGTGGACCTGGGCGGAGGAAGACCCGCGGAAAGCGAGGAGACTTTCCCAACCCAATTTCCAGCTCTGTGGGAGTTTGGGCGTTGGTTCTAATTCCGATTTGGGCTATGGCGAGTCCGGGTAATTATGTGGTTGTCCACGATTGGGTATTACCAAGGGGGTGGGGGTACCGTAGTGGAACAGGGACGAAAACCGCCCGGCTGTGAAGTACGTACATTACAGTTGATATATTCCTCCAAGTGCTCATGTCCTTGCCCAGCATGTGTCCGCAAGTCTCATATCTGGTGGGGATAGCAAAAAAAACTCCGGTACAGTAACAGTTGGCGGCAGTCCTCATAGAGAAGATGCGTGCCTAGACGCTAAAGTGGGAACTTCCGAGCAAAGATATTCACTTGCTTTTGGTACTCGTACATCTTGGAGTGATCCCACTGACACACCTTTCCCTATGCCTGGGTGTCCGGCTTTACCTCTGCCGCGGATTTATCTCTCCAAAAAGTCACGATGCAGCTAAGGCTAACCGAGCCGATCAATACTCGAGTTGGCATCACTGCCGCATCAAGGCCCCCGAATCCCTGCACTGTGAGGCTGATCAACACGGCAACGAAGCCCTTGACAAGAAAGTGTGGGGGTTCAAGAGTTCGCCGAGCCTGCTTCCACGTCAATCCTCCTTTCCCTTCACCACCTTATTCCGCGCCAATCCCCATCTTTCTTTTTTTACCTTTTTCTATAAGTTCATAGCCGTTCACTACTCGGCGTTTTTTAAAGTCTCCGGAACGTAGGTTACGGGCCCGGTGCCAAGTTACTGTAAGTTCCTGCAAATATCGGTGAGGTGAAGCCAGTAGTTACGCCATCGGTGCATCACTTATTCATTTCCCATTCCGGGGACTTTAAAAAACGTCGAGTAGATGGTACAAGTAGTCAAGAGCAGTGTCAAGGACGATGGAGGGATTATTCTGAATTTTGGCCCTTTTTTATTATTACCTCTCTCCTCCCATACCGAGGAAATCCGCTACAACCTTCAATTCAGTTATCATAGAGCGTTTTGCGCATTCCTGGCAATCCTTTAGGCCTTAAGGGTGTTCGTAGGCTTCATAAACTCGAGCCCCAAGGCCCTCGTTGATTCTTGTTACTAACCCCCCCTTCATGCCTACATTTCTTTGAGTCCCTAGCAGAAGGCAAGAGGGCGCGTACCCCCTAGAGTTCATCCTGGTTCTGCGCAATATGCTATGATAGCACTCCATGATCTGCCCTTCTGTTCCAGCATTGAACGCACTTTCCGTATGATACCCTAGTACAAAATACCGGTAAGTAGACTCCAGGACTAAAGTTCGATAACGGGTCGGTGGCGCCGCGGGCCTCGGTATCATAGTCTGGGGAATGGTCGGCGGGGATGGGCAGCCGTAAGAGATCTTGAAGCCTTCTGGCACCTATTCTTGGCCCCGGAGGGACACGGCAGACGGCCCCTGTTGTCGCTTAAGGTAGTGGCTGCCCCCTCTTTTAAGTAAATTTACCATTTGCGATGCGCGGCTTTTAAATTTGTGTTACAATGCTACGGCTCATCTCGAACCCTCGCCCCGCTCTTCTATTAATTAACCCCTCTTCCGAGATCACAAACCCCCGATACAACCTTGAAGCTCACCTCCGCAGGTCACCCGTGCCACGAAGTGGGAGAGAGAAAGAAAGTTTAGCTCACGGATGATGACGGTAAGGCTCAATGGGCGGGAGGAAGCCACTGCTATTACAATAATGTTACCCCGATCGCGCGGATTGGGATGTGGGGCCTCTAGCTAGTCCGCCGGAATCCTAAGGGATTGGAGTACCTGCCCAGTCTCCGGACCTATCGACAGACTAGATACTCCTTTTGCTTTCAGGGGTTCTTAGGATTTTAAAGAAGAATGAGGGTGACCCGCGGCAAATCTACTAACATTGATTACCTCCAGAGCACCCCGCGATCTTTATACAAATGTTCTTAACGTATCATCGTAACAGAGCTCGACGAGTCCTGAATCTAGGGATTAATTATTCGCTTGATTCAGGTAGCGTAGTGGGATCAAGGACCTCAAGAATTTTCCCCATTGGGCGGGAAAGCGATGAGAAAATCCGTGCGCGGCCCTCGCGTGGACTATTGATTCCAAGAATTACCACCTTTTCAGGACAGTTACAGAGCTCGTGATTAAAGGAGTATCGCCTGATCGAGGTAAGTGGTCGTGTGCCGCATGTTCCAGGGATTTTGGTATTATCCTGACTGATGTCTATATTCGCTCTCTATCACTAGAAGCTTTGCAAACAACCCGGTGGCGATGGGTGCTGTCACTGGTGGATGAATGTGGTGGGAGGTGGATGGAATGAACGATTTATAATAATTGATTGGCCTTTAGGGACAGCCCTGCTTCATGCAGCGAAAGATATATCATACACGCCGAGAAAATGCCCCCCGTCTGCTCCGACCCTATGATATCGATAAGGGTGGTTGCCGATACCTGCCTTCACAACACTCAACGGTCAGAAGGGCCGGGAGGCGATCTACAATTATGTGCTGGAATATAGTCACCCCGGCTTTTCATCCGACCCTTGGGGAGGCTACATCCAAGAATTGGAGGATTGGAATATGGAGCTATCCTTGTGTATACAGCTGATTTTCGAAACTGGGCCTCACAGGTTTCTCACAATGGCTTATGGTGCACTTGGGAAGTGGGGGCCGCTATGGTCCAGTCCCCGGTGATGCAGCACATTTAATGATAGTAGCTGGGCTTGGGCAGAGTGTGGTAGTTCTGGGATAACTGGCGGAAGGAGGAGACGTTGACACCCGACCCAAAAACACGGCGCCGCATTGGACGAGGAAGCTCACCGGAGAGGTCGGGGTGTGCCCAGGATACTACGGGAGGTAGGCATCAATCAATGTACTATTTATTCGTGGAGGAGTACAAAATCTTCCCTCTAGATAAATTTATGAGTAGCTGATCGAACGATTCTAAGTTTTTCTGAGCAGGGGGGAGGTTTCCTGATAGGATTATTCCTCGAAAATGAGTGGAGTGTTCGTCCTACCTATAGATATAGTTTCTCGCTAAGCTAGTGACCAAGAAATCCAGTCAAAAAAACCTGTGCAAATTCCTTCGAGGCTCCTTATCATTCTCGTGTGTTCCAAACATTGCCATTACCTTGTGTTCCTATCATACATCCTAGTCCATCAGCCAACCGTTCAACTAACTGTATTTATCTCTCCAACTGCCTGATGTCTCCCTCCTATTACCCACCGCCCACTAGTCTACCTATCCAATTTACTTCAATGCCCTACTGCCGTTCCTGCGCCACCTACCTACCCCCTTAGTGAGCAGTCGCGAGTGGCTTATATCGGTACACGTATCCTAATTCACTTTTCCTCGAATTGCCTATCGACTATAACTAGTTAAATCCCCCAACATCCGGAAAAAAAAAACCCCCCCGCGAAGAGACATTCCAGAACGATGTCACCCGTAGAGAATAGTCAACATACCGTATTAACTTGAATAAGAGCAACACATCTCGGGACGTCTGACTTGCCTATTTTGGTAGGGACGGGAGAAAATACCAGCAAAATAAAACCACGCGTTACCAAGAGGGGAAACCTAGACGTCCCGAGCAGTGTTGCTCTTATTCAAGTTCATACGGTACTTAGAGCATGACAGATTAGATGGCCGTTACGACTAACCT